TTGTAGTAGGCTGATTTCTAAAAATTTTCCAATAGGTCTCTCAGTGACGTCATCATCAGTACGTTGTTTTTTTTTTTTGTATATTTGATAGTCAAATGCTTGGAATAATCACATTTTCTATTTTATTTCGTGACGTCATTATCAGTACTTACATTGTATAAGTTTTTGAAAAGCTTGTGAAGTGAGGTTGTAGTTGTGTTAATAGAATGGCCACAACAAGCCTTGTAGTATGCTGATTTCTAAAAATCTTAGTGACGTCATCAGCAGTACTTTGATGGCCAAACACCTGGAATAATTAAATTTTGCACCTGATTTCGTGATGTCATAATTAGTACTTGTATTGAAAATTTGAAAAAAGCTTGAGTGTTCCACCGCCCTTGTAATAAATAATAATAATATCCTTGATAGTGACGTCATCACCTATATTTTCCTTATTATTTTAGGTACTTGATAATCAATAGAAGAATGGTAGGGGGTATTGCGCAAGAGATCAACGCGCAATCCGAAGTTTGCCGAATCGAGCGCGAACTGGAGGAGGCGCGCAACAAACTGGTGGCCATCAGACAAGCAAAATATAAATTAAAAGGTAAAAAAACAGAAATTCTAGAAAATTCCCTGATTTTCATCAATTTTTAGGTTATGAAACATCCGGCGACGAAACTGACGGTTACGTCAGTTCGGCACCCGAACAAGATACACGGTGAGTCTCAAAAAAGGTGTGTCTTTGTCTAACTCGCATGTTGTTTCTCTTTCTAATTAATAGATGGCGCCACTAATTCAAAAAAAAAATTGTTTCAGATTCACTCACAGCTACGACAGATCTAACAAGTACGCAAGCCATTTGGAAAATCAACAAGGAACCGCCAGCTCGGAATTCGTCAAAAACCCTTCGTACAAGTACGAGTATTTCCGTTCCGAGCCTCAGAACAACGAGGAATTTCAATCGTCCTTTACGAAAAACGTCGAGTACATCGACGAGGCTCCGGTGCTCAGAGATCAGAACACGCTGGAGCAAAAGATGCTCAGAAAAAGCGTCAGCGAGCAGATTTTCGAGAAGAAAACGACGACCACCAGCAGGACGACCAAGCAGGAGTCGCAGCTGAAGACTTTTAAGTTTCAATGAGGCTTTTTTTGTTTTTCAAGTGGTGCTTTAACGCTATTTTTTGTCTTAATAATTATTAATTTGTGTCTGTATATGTATTTAGTTATTAATAAATTAATTATCTGGTTGATTTTGTTGTTTCGGTTACTTCTACCTTTGAAAATCCCGCCTTTTTTCATTGAAAAATTATATTTACTACTAGCGCCATCCATTAGACAGAAACTGAAGTTGTTTTTATAAAAATTATCATTTTTACAGGAATCTGTAATTTTTACAGAAGTCTGTAATTTTAACAAAATTTTTTGAAAATTTGATATTTTATTTGATTTTCATCTCTTCACGTTTCTGCTCTCCTGATACAAAATTAGAAATTTCAAAAATCCTGGAATTTTCCTAAAATTCCAATTTTGTATCAGGAACGCGAAGAGGTAAAATTTTCCTCACAAAATGGCGAAAGCGATCTGAAATTAAATTTGGGGAAAAATAAAACGAAAAATTTCGGAAAAATTATTTATTTTCTTCCATAATTAACAATAATAAATGGACAAAAGGGCACTAGGAGTTGTCCTGAAGGTTGTAACACCACCTGAAACAAAGCTAAGGTTAATTTTTAAGAAAATTTCAACTTTGCAGCCCTATAACTAGGAAACTGGATAAATCTGGAAATTCTGGATAAGGCCATTTTGTAGCAAATTTAATTCTCTTTCGAATGAAACTTGATTCATTAAAATCGGTCCAGGCGTTCCAGAGTTATCGCCGATTTAATGGGACCATGTCAGGCTGGAAAAGCCCCTCCATGAATTTCCTTTTTTATTTTTTTCCAGGCTTAGGAAATATCCTACAGGAAAATGCCAAATAGCTTTTCTGCTTGTTTTCACCTCCTCTATACACTGGAATTTTTATTTTTCCAAAATTCGAAAAATTTCGATTTTCCATTTTGTGAGGTATAGAAAAGGCCCGGAAAATCCTGGAAAACCGGGAAATTAAGGGGCAAAAAGTGGATTCCGACATTTTTTTGGATGTCCTCTATGACGTCATCGAAGAAAATCCGGGAAATTTTGACTTTGATTTTTTGGCCGAAAAAAAAAGGATCGATTTTAAAATTTCCAAGTGGAATATCTTGGAAATGGTGAGTCCTAGAGGGAAAACTCACTGAGCTTTTTTTGTAGATCTCGACAAGCTCTACAATGTAGCCATGAACAGTTTTCCTCTAGGACTTACCATTACGCAGCTACAGCCCGTTGAAGTTGAGATTTTTGTCATTTTCCAGTGTCTCCTGTGTTATAGGTATAGGCCCAAAAATCGAAGTCAAAATTTCGAAATTTCAACATAGCCATTTTGTAGAGGGGATCCCAAAAAGTCCCGAAACCAACTTTTTTCCCCTTAATTTTCCGATTTTCCAGGGCTTTTCCAGGTTTTTTTGAATTAAATGGAACCTTTTGTAAATTAATTTTTTTCTGGAAAACTAGCAAAGAGAAAATTTTGAAAATTTTTCAGGAAAAAGAGAAAACTATAAAGCTCATTATAGGAAAATTTCAAATTTTTCCAATGGAAAATGACTCCAGGAGAAATTCTAGAAAATTGACTTATTTAAGGAAAATTAAGGAAAATTCACCTCTTGCATTTTAATTTTTTTCTGGAAAACTGGCAGAGGGAAAATTTTGAAATTTTTCCAGGAGAAAGAGGAAAGTGTGGAGCTCATTATAGGAAAATTTCACAATTTTCCAATGGAAAATGACTCCAGGAAAAATTCTGGAAAATTGACTTATTAAGGAAAAATTTACCTCTTGCATTTTAATTTTTTTCTGGAAAACTGGCAAAGGGAAAATTTTGAAATTTTTTCAGGAGAAAGAGGAAAATGTGGAGCTCATTATAGGAAAATTTCAAATTTTTCCAATGGAAAATGACTCCAGGAGAAATTCTAGAAAATTGACTTATTTAAGGAAAATTAAGGAAAATTCACTTCTTGCATTTTAATTTTTTTCTGGAAAACTGGTAAAGGGAAAATTTTGAAATTTTTTCAGGAGAAAGAGGAAAATGTGGAGCTCATTATAGGAAAATTTCAAATTTTTCCAATGAAAATTGACTTCAGGAAAAATTCTGGAAAATTGACTTATTAAGGAAAAATTTACCTCTTGCATTTTAATTTTTTTCTGGAAAACTGGCAGAGGGAAAATTTTGAAATTTTTCTAGGAAAGAAAGGAAAGTGTAAAGTTCATTATAAGAAAATTTCAAAATTTTCCAATGAAAAATGACTCCAAGAAAAATTCTGGAAAATTGACTTTTTTAAGCAAAATTCATCCACTTGATTTTTCAAAAGGGGGCTTAAATCTAGGGTATTAGGAGGCTATAGAAACCATAGTTTTTTTCCATATAATTGCAGTATCATGTTGGTACTGTAAGTATCTTGGTGGCAAAGGGTATGGGCCCCTTTGGTACAAAACCAAATAGTCGAGTCATCAACTTTTAGTTCAGGAAATCCCACTGGCACAAATGTTTGTAGTCAAAATACGAAAATTGGGCCTTTTTTTGATGCTCGGTACAAGTTTTGTCCCACTGGGGCTCCTTTTTTCAATTAAAATCAATCAAAATTACCTCAGAGTAAAACCGGGTTTTTTCCGCAACAAATCTTGTCCCACTGCTTTTGTCCAGGACAACAAGTTACAACTTGAATGGTTTTTAATTACAGTATTTAGAATTAATTGTTTAAAGACAATGTAAACAAATAATTGAGGTTAGGTAACCATTTTGCTGTCAAAAACGTGCCAGCGCCATCTATCAACGAACCACCATAGTTGCCGAATTACAGATTCCTGTATTAGTGATAAATTACAGGAATCTGTAATTTGCAATTATTGAATTTTGTGTTAATTTGAGTTTAATTATTAAAAATGGATAAAGTAATCATTACAGCAATCTGTAATTTTTGCAGCGACATCTAGCAAGTAAAAATTGAAATAATTATTACAGAAATCTGTAATTTTTTGTTGATTTCATTTTACGTATCTGGAGCTACGATTTCAGCCAGTTGATGATGTCACCATAAGTGCCAACATTAATTTTGATTTTTTTTAAAGCTTAAGCAATGTATTTTACGTGGGTTTTCAGCCAACTGATGACGTCACCAATGAAAAAAAAAAATACAAGGGTTTAATTGATTCATTGGTTTTTTTTTTCATTTGTTTAAAATTTTAATTGACATAACATAATAATTAATACTTAAAAACTAATAATTCAACACTATACACGGTTTAATTAATTTTTATTTACAATAATAATTATATATTTAAAATTTAATCTACACTCGGAATTAATAGATGACGTCACACACATAATCTCACTTTCGTTTTGTCAACAATGACGTAACACAAACATGTGTATATGACGTCAGCTAGTACCTAATTAATTGCTTGGAAATGAAATTAATTAATTCCTACCTAAAGAAAATCAGACTTTTTACCTTTACAATACGATTGTCCTCGAATTCGAAAAAACTCTTTGTTTATTGGTGCAGATTTCGTTTTTAAATTCCATTATTGGTAGAACCGGTGTAGAAAAAAAAAAAAAAAAAAAAATGTCTTTCTATCTTTTTCTTATACATGATGTTAGAAAAAGATACAAATACACTTGGTGCGCACCAGCTGTTCCAATGTGATATAAAAAGATTCCTTTTTTGTGTGTTTTTGATCCTTATTCTATAGGGTGATATGGAGAATAGTTTCAAGCAATTTACAAATCTTAAAAGCTACAATTAAATTGTCAGGAAAACTCTCGGATAAAAAGAAATTTGGCAACAAAAAAAAAAAAAGAAGAAAAATTTGTATAACATATCACAAGGGCTAAATGGGGTGTTCAAGCGTTCGACCAGTTATTGGTTAGTCGCTTGAAAACTCCCTGATCAGCTTAGGTCGTCGCCCTCTTCGCTTTCCCTGTGCACCAGCACCTGGACTACCGTCGATTCGCCGGCCGTTTGCCGGCCTTCCGGCGACGCTTCCGTCACCAAAATACTGACGTCCGAACTGTGACTGCACCGTTCCGACTGACTGCGTTGACAGCCGCCCGCCACCGACGTCGGACGGCTTTTCACCGAACCGGCGCGTTTGCGCCGAATCGGACGGTCGTCCGCAGTCGACGGATGAAGTGTCAAGCCTGGAATAATTGGTATTTTTTTTATCCTTGTTTTTAGAAAAAGATATATTGATAATCGCCATGACATAGCGATTTCTATTTGTAGAATCAGTGCAGAAAATGCGGATAATACGGATACACTCAGAGTAAGTTCGGAGTGTACTAGATTTTGAACTCAATAATGCAGTATTTTTATTGTTTAGTGAAAAATCGAGCAAAATTAGGTCCTTTGCTTACAATGTTCTAGAGCAGATTTTTTAATACAAAAACTTGTAAATACCAATAGCAACTAGGCTGAGATCATGACGAGTAGAATTCTACTTTCATGACGTCACCCGCAACTTATTTATCGCGTACAGGATGGTTGCTAGACAACCTGACGTCATAAAAGTAAAAGTTTACTTGTCATGAACCCAATTCAATGTGTTCTAAAGATTGACCAAGAGCCTGTTCCGAGCTTGTTAGAAATTCCTGATTCGTTTACTTCGTCACAACTGGTGACCCGAAGGGCCAAAGTTTTATGGACCGAAGGGCCACAGTTATTTTAACTATAAGCCCGGAGGGCCGAAGTTATACGAGTCCGAAAGGACAACAAACGTCAAAACATTGACATTTCAAAATAGGCTTTGTTATCTTTCAAGGATAATACATACACTACAACAACATATAATAGTCGTCAACTATTTAAACAGGCTACGTCAAGGCGAAAAATAACATGCATTCGACGTCATAACTGGTGATTTGACCCGAGGGATAATGGAAGGATTTGTTACACACAGGTCTTATGAAGATAAAATATTTTGTAGTAGTTGTGTGTATTATCCTTGAAAGAAAACAAGGCCTTCTTTCAAATGTCAATGTTTTGACGTTTGTTATCCTTTCAGACTCGTATAACCTCGACCCTCCGGGCTCATGGTTAAGATAACTCTGACCCTTTGGGCTAATTAAAGTTCAAATTTAAGGCTCTATTGCTCAGGGAGTTTTTGAGATATTAAGCTCAATTTTGCACTGATTCATAGAGAATTTTATGCTCTTTCCAATGATATATAGTTTATTTAATTTGCTCAAATATTAACGGAGATATGAGTCATTGTTTATAAGCATGTCAGGATTTAAAAAATAAAACATTTTTCTAACTTTGAGCCTCAATTACTCGGAAAGTATTTGAGCAAATCCCCCCTTTCTTCTTTTCGCCAAATCACCAGTTGTGACGAAGTAAACGAACCAGGAATTTCTAACAAGCTCGGAATAGGCTCTTGGTCAATTTTTAGAACACATAAAACCGATTTGAAACTGATTCCATTTGATTTGAGAATTCAGAACACAGTTGGGATCATGACAAGTAAACTTTTACTTTTATGACGTCAGATTACCTAGCAACCATCATCATAGCTTGTAAATACGTGGCGGGCGGCGTCATGAGAGTAGAATTCTACTCTTCATGATCCCAGAGCAGTTGCTATTAGAGCAAGTTTCTGTATTACCCCCCAAAAAAAAAATGCCCTAGAACACTGTAAGCATTGTAAATGGGCCAAAATGACGTCATCAGGAGTGCCTCAACATGATTCTAATCTCCATATGCGTCATCAAGTTACCCATAACTAGACAACCTATTAACTTTGGGAATCATAATTCCAAGATTCCTAAAAGTTGAAGTTAACCTCTTTCAAATAACCTTGCAGTACATGAATACCACACTAAAATCCCATTCCGATCTCAACTCTAGTGCGCATGATTGACTAAACAAAAGTCACCATGACATAGCGATTTCAATTTGTAGAATTGGTGCAAGAAAAATCCCTGAGATGCAACGACCGCCATGACATAGCGTTTTCAATTTGTAAAATCGGTGCACTTACCTTTGCTGTCCGGAGTTTCAACAGCGTCCTGATGCCTCAAAAAAAAATTGTACAAACTCCGCCGTCTCGAAGGCGGCGTCGTTTTAGGTGGTTCGTCGACGTCGTCGTCTTCGGTCGATTGACGTCTCGCTTCTAAATCGCGGGCGGCGCCGGTGAGCAACAGCAGCGGCAAGTTCAACCACGGCCCGCCGAGTTCGCTGAGGTCGCTGGCGTCGGATGCGCGCGACGATTTTCGGGAAGATGCGCGCGAACCTCTGTGGACGTGCAGGAACGTCGTCAGACGGCTGCGCCAGTCGCCGCCCGGCGACGACGTTTGCGTCGTTTCGTCTACGTCTTCGTCTTGACGTTCTTTATCCTTTTTCCTTCTGATAAAATGATTAATTAATCTATCTTTGTCTATTGTAACCTAGTAAAAAAAAGTGAACTCAATTTGAATGCATGAGAACGAGAAAGCACGATTGTAGGACACATTATTTCTATTCCAGGCTCTTGAATTTTCTTCGTATAGATTTATTTATTTTACTCCAAATAGAGTAAGTTCATTGGGCATTGAAGAGTAAAAAGAGTAAATTACAGAGGTTTCATTTCAAATTAAAATTGATTTAGAGTCGATTTAGAACACTTAAAAATTGCAAGATTTTGAACCAGTGTAATCTGATTTAGAACTGCGAACAAAAAAGTGTAAAGTTCAATATGTTCTAGAACCGCAATCACGATATTCAGTACTCCTACAACTAGTTCGAAAATGTTCTTAGAACAAATGTGTATCATATTTTGGCTTGTTGCAATGCAAACCAGTTCAGGATTTTATCGAGTTCCAGACAAAAAAAGAGTATGTTCAGTATGTTCTAGAACAGCAATCGCAAACTGAAGTAAATGGTAATTTGATGACGTATTTGGGGTGCCTTATGGAAATTTGCATTATGTTGAGGTACTCAAGATGTCGTCATAGAGTTACGGGCCATCGAGAAAATTGTCCTAGATCACTCATAATTAAGCAAATAGTTGAGTTCCGAATGGTAGAAAGTGTCGACACTTTTTACTCTATTGACACTATGGCGTTTGTTTATTGATAGGAGTAAGTCTGGTGTAAACATGGTGGGACACCGTTTACTCGGTACAAAATAATGGTATTTTCGGTGTTACACCACCGGTGACACTGCACTAAAATCCCATTCCGAACTCAACTATTGAATAATTTGGGTGTAAATGAGTTACACCCGTTTGTCACGAGATGGCGCCACTTTACCATGAGCTACAAAATATCCCAAAAAATCGAATTAAAACTCTTCACACTTATTAATCTCAGATTAATGCAGGTTTCTGTTTTACCGGCTATCAAAAAAAGAAGAGGAGCGGCCATTTTAGAATTGTGTTTTTCAATAGATTTCAGTGCAGTCCGGAAAATGTTGCTTGTGATATGAGGAATTGGATTTTTCATAAGCGGCACGTTATTATGCCATTTTTCACCGAAAATATTTCCACGGTGAGTGAAAACTGTCATATTAGCTACAGTGGCGTCCTATTTTTGAAACCCTATGTGTTCATATTGAAAATTGGCAAAAATATGGTGGCACGGGCCTGGTTCACTTCTATATTTACCAATAATTAAATATTCAAAATTAGCAAAAATATGGCGACAGGCCACTGTGAGTCCCTTTAATATCAGCTAACTTCACTTTTCGAAATAAACATCAAAGTAGGCCTTGGACGGCCATTTTAAAATTGCGTTTTTTAATAAAATGGCCAGTGTTATTTTAGCCATGAATCCGGAGGGCTGAGATTATACGAGTCCGAAAGGACAACAAACGTTAAAACATTGACATTTCAAAGTAGATTTTGTTCTCTTTCAAGGATAATACACATACTACTATTACAAGATAGCTTATCTTCATAAGGCCTGTGTGTAACAAATCCTCCCCTTACCTCTCGGGTCAAATCACCAGTTGTGACGTCGACAGCATGTTATTTCTCGCCTTGACGTAGACTGTTTAAATAGTTGACAATTATTATATGTAGTAGTAGTATGTATTATTCTTGGAAGAAAACAAAACCTCGGTCTCCGAACTCATGGTTAAAATAACTCTGGCCCTTTGGCAACATATGGCAACACTGTCTATGATACAGCAAACGTCAAAAAAAATTGACTTTTCAAAGTAGGATTTGTTTTCTTTCAAGGATAATACACACAACTACTATAAAATATTCTATCTTTATAAGGCCTGTGTGTAACAAATCCGCCCCTTTTCCTTTGCGCCAATTCAGTTGTGACGGAGTAAAGAAGGGGTGAAATATATGGTAAAAACAGATTTGACGTCTCTGGATCCTTATTCTTGAAACAGGGGAGCAGTTTTCCCAGGAGAATGAGTGTTCCGTCTTTCTCAATGATATGCAACTGGTAATATGAGTAACAAAGACAGAACAATCGTCCTCCTGGAAACGTTTCTTCCCTGTTTTAAGAATAAGGACCCAAAGACGTCAAATCTGGGATACTCAGTAATACCGGCCCGAAGGGCCGGAGTTTTATGCGAGTCCGGCCCGAAGGGCCGGAGTTATATGCGAGTCCGGCCCGAAGGGCCGGAGTTATATGCGAGTCCGGCCCGAAGGGCCGGAGTTATATGCGAGTCCGAAGAGCCGGAGTTATATGCGAGCCCGAAGGGCCAGAATTTTATGGCCCGAAGGGCTATAAAACTCCGGCCCTTCGGGCCGGACTCGCATAAAACTCCGGCCCTTCGGGCCGGACTCGCATAAAACTCCGGCCCTTCGGGCCGGACTTGCATAAAACTCCGGCCCTTCGGGCCGGAATCGCATAAAACTCCGGCCCTTCGGGCCGGACTCGCATAAAACTCCGGCCCTTCGGGCCGGACTCGCATATAACTCCGGCTCTTCGGGCCAGAGTTATTTTAACCATAAGTTGTATTAAATCAAAATCGACGGACAATATCTTTTAATAAAGAAAATTCAAGAGCCTGGAATAGAGAAAGCATGATTTTTCACTCAATTTACTAATCTACCTCAAATAATCCTTCCAAGTTTTCTGGATCAGCTTGGCAGCCTTGTCTTGCCTCTTCCACATCCGCGTAGACGAAACTATCTCCAACTCCTTCCTTGTAGGAAACTGCTTTTTGAATTTGATATCCATTTGCTCTTGCAACTGAAAACTTTTTGTTTGTATCTCTTTCCTACATATACAGAGTGCGACATAACTTCTGCCCCACTATCACTATTCTTCGCTTTTTCGTACAAAATAGGGGCAGAACTTATGACGCATCCTGTATAATATGGTACTCACTTGTCTAAAATTGTCGGTTTCTTCAACATGTCCAAGCACGTGCTTGACCAGCGCATGTAAAATGTCCAAACAATGAATTTTGTTGCCTTTAGCTATAGGTAAATTGAAACTAACCAAAGCTACAGTGTTGGGCTTGGGAATCCCAAGAGGCGGATCTAGCGAAGCTATGAAATCAGACAACTGACTGAATCTTATAAACTGAGCAGCATGCGGATCGTATTTGCTCCATCTAATGTAAAACATCTCCAAATCGTCTTCTACAATACCGATTTCTTCTTCTTGGTGCGCCTGGTTGAAGTTTTCCAGAATAATAGCGATGTACATGTTGATGACGATCATGTAGTTGATGATGATGAAGCTGGTGAAGTAGATGATGGCGAGCAAAGGGTAGCCGCAATCGCCGTTGGTTTGGTGTTTGTAGTGGGGGTCACAATCCGGATACTCGATCATTAAGGATTCTAGAACATCGTTCCAGCCGGCTGAAGTGATCAGACGGAACAGCAAATGCATTGATCGGCCGAATGTTTCGAAGTTTACCATGTCGTCCAGAGCACCTTGTTGTCGTACGTGTCCGAACAGGAACATTCCGATTATGGCGTAGATGAAGGTGATCAATGCTAGTAAGGCTCCTATATTGAATAGGGCTGGTAGAGACACTACCAGAGCAAAGAGGAGTTTTCTTATGCCTTTTGCCGCCTGAAAAATATACTCAATTTAATGGTATATAATAGAAGGAGCTACTGTGATGGAATTAACAGATAGGGGTGTTAGCTGAGCCAGGAGGGGGATGCATAACCTCCTCGAAGGAGACGTTGGACCTCCTCCTGGCGACACACTTCCCTGAGTCACATATAGGGACGCTGTGCGCCTGATTATAAGCTATTGATACTTTTATGTGGGCGGACTAAGGAATTTCGGCCCTTATACCAATTTAATTAATGGTATAGGTACTTTTTGTTATCAATTTTTTTAATATTTAAATTGGTACTACTTTATTAAATATGTATTTGCTTTGTTTTTAATTTGATAATTTTGTGTTTTAATAAGCACCCTACTTTGTCCCTATCTTTGTCTTACCTATTTGGGGTTTTTGCAAAAGTATACTACTTTATCGTTGTCTTTGTCTTACATATAATCAACAAGTGAGCCTTGTCATTTTCATTGATATTAAACTAAAAATAAGTTTCCAAGGCCTTATTTAGAGAATTTATTGTTTTAATTAATTAATTAAATTTAACCATTTAGAATGTTATTAATGTCATGTGGCAACATCGCTTTCAGTCGGATATTTTGCAGTGATGTGTTTACATTTTTATCCAGTTTTTCTTTGAATTTTCCGCTTTTCCAGGACTTTTTGATGGAAAAAACCGGTTTAACATACGAGGCTTTGATTTTTCTACATTTTCTAACAGAAATTTCCAGTTTTTATAATTAGCAAAATGCTTTTTTTGAAAATTTCTATATGGCAACACCGCCTCATGGCCAACTCCACTTAATTAATAGTAGGCCTTGTAATGGAATGTTATTTGCCAGTTTTGACAGTCGGTCATTTTCATTTGACGTGTTTACATTTTTGTACAGTTTTTCCTCGAATTTTCCGATGTTCCAGGCCGTTTTCAGTCTGGAAAACTGATTTAAAATATGAAGCTTTGGATTGCCTACATTTTGTGCCAAAAATTTCCCCTTTTCCAATGGGGTAAGTAAAAAAAAACTTCAATCTTATCAAGTAGGCTTTGGAATGTTGGTTTTCTTTGGATTTTCCACTTTTTCAGGGTTTTTTCAGTATGGGAAAACTGGTTTAAAGTACGAGGCTTTCATTTGCTTAATTTTTTTACCAAAACTTTCCACTTTTAAACTTAAATTGTATCCTACCTTATCTCCTTCTTTGTCTTACACACTATTAAACAAGCTTTGGAATGTCATTTCTTTTAAAAATAAGTTTCCAATGCATTATTTTAGGAATATATCATTCTATAAATACCTATTAATGATTAATTATTTAACTAAATTTAATACAAAAAACCATTCGAAATATAATTTTTTCCTATTTGAAATCTGGCAACGTCGCTTTCAGTCAAGCAAGCCTTGTAATGGAATGTCATTTGCCAGTTTTGACAGTACTGACAGTCGGCGATTTTCAATTGTCGTGTTTGCATTTCTATCCAGTTTTTCCTCGAATTTTCCGATTTTCCAGACCGTTTTCAGTCGGGAAAACCGATTTAAAATACGAGGCTTTGAATTTCCTACATTTTGTGCCAAAAATTTCCAGTTTTCCAATGGGGTAAGTAAGAAAAACTTTAATTTTATCAAGTAGGCTTTGGAATTTTGGTTTTCTGTGAATTTTCCACTTTTCCAAGGTTTTTTCAGTTTGGAAAACTGGTATAAAGTACAAGGCTTTGAAATTTCTCTATTTTCTGCTAAAAATTTCCGGAGTAAGCAACAAAAACTTCAGTATCGTCAAGCAGGCTTTGCAATGTAATCTTTAGAGGTTTTTTTTTAGATTTTCCGCCTTTTCAGAACTTTTTCGGTCGGGAAAACCCATTTAAAGTACGAGGCTTTGAGTTTTCTTCATTTTCCAGCAAAAATTTCCAGTTTTTAAAACCATAATTATTAAAATCCCATTTAAATTGCTTGATGTAGCAACACTGCTTGTGACTAACTTCAAGTAGGATTTGTAATAAATGTCATTTGCCAGTTTTGACGGTCGGCTATTTATAATTGACGTGTTTACATTGCTATGCAGTTTTTCCTCGAATTTTCCGATTATTTAGGGCTTTTTCAGTCGGAAAAACCGATTTGAAATACCAGACTTTGAACTTCTTATATTTTGTGCTAAAAATTTCCAGTTTTCCAATGGGGTAAATGAGAGAAACTTCACTCTTATCAAGTAGGCTTTGGAATGTTAGTTTTTCTTCAAATTTTCCAAATTTCCGAGACTTTTCAATGGGAAAATGTACTTCAAAGTGTTCGGAAAAGTGTCGCAATTTGAATTTTGTGTTTATTTGCCCAGGAAATTGAATTTCTGAGTGGGGGGCCACAATTTTGAAGGGTGAGTACAAGAAATTCGATTATTATAATACTAGGCCTTTTGTGTGTTTATAATAGGTCTGTTTCTGCAGAAATCAGTCAGAGTGAATTTCATTGGACAAAAACAGTAACCAATGAAATTCACTCTGATTGGTTTGTGATTTCTGCAGAAACAGACCTATTATATGAATGTAGTCCATCTTTAGTTTATCTTGTGACGTCATGAGTTTGAAGCTGCGTCCATGCTTTCGGCGAACTACATTCAATATTCAATATATTCAATTTCTTGCCAAAGCGTTTGTAGTGTTCATAAAATCATCGTGAAAATTCGATTCTAGTGTTAGTGTTTTATATATATGTTAAAAATAAACGAGCAAGCAAAAAACTATGTATTTCTATCTTTTTTTTTTGCCAGGCTGAGAGAAAGAGATGGGCTCATGTTAATTCCCAGCGTTATTTCTTGACAGGTAAGTAAAGCTTAATTATTATAAACAAAATTATGTTAATTTTAATGTATTTTAAACGTGATAACTAAAAATCCGGGACGATTAAAGGTGGGTTTATACAGCACATAAAAAATAATATAGGGGAACCCGGCCCGAAGGGCCGGAGTTATAGGGGAACCCGGCCCGAAGGGCCGGAGTTATAGGGGAACCCGGCCCGAAGGGCCGGAGTTATAGGGGAACCCGGCCCGAAGGGCCGGAGTTATAGGGATACCCGGCCCGAAGGGCCGGAGTTATAGGGGAACCCGGCCCGAAGGGCCGGAGTTATACGTGAGCCCGAAGGGCTAAAGTTATTTTAATCACGGAACTCGGTCTATAATTCTATTGGTCAGTGAATAATTTAGAGCCAATCAAAAACCGAGAATATTTAAAATGCGATTTTTAACGTCCGATCAAAGAGTCGGGAATATTCAAAAACTTTAGTTTTATCAAATTGGCTTTGGAATGTTGGTTTTCTTAAGATTTTTACTTTTTTCAGAAAACGGTGGTTTTTGCAAAGATATACTACTTTATCATTGTCTTTGTCTTACTCACTATAATCAATAAGGAAACCTTGTAATGTCATTTTCATTGGAATTAAACTAAAAACAAGTTTCCTATGATTTATTTAGGGAATTTTAATTATTAAAATCATTATTAATTAATTATTAAATTGAATTTTAAACAAAAAACCCTTTTAAAATGTTATTTTTGTTTTCCGAAATGAGATGTGGCAACGTTGGCCATTTTGAAGTGACGCCTTGTAATTTTTTGGCAGTTTTTTCTCGAATTTTTCACTTTTCCGGGGCTTTTCAATGGAAAAAGGCAATTTAACATACGAGGCTTTGAGTTTTCTTCATTTTCTAGCAAAAATGTCCAGTTTTAAAATGACATAAATAACAAAATCCCATGTTTTTTTAAAAGTTTTAATGTGGCAACACCGTTTGTATCAACTTCAAATAGGTTTTGTAATAAATGTCATTTGCCAGTTTTGACAGTCGGCAATTTTTAATTGACGTGTTCACATTTCTATCCAGTTTTTCCTCGAATTTTCCGCTTTTTCAAGCCGTTTTCAGTCAAGAAAACCGATTTGGAATATGAGGCTTTGAATTTCTTACATTTTATGCTAAAAATTCCCAGTTTTCCAATGGGGTAAGTGACAAAAACTCAAATTTCATTAAGTAGGCTTTGGAATGTCATTTTTAGAGATTTTTCTTTGAATTTGTCCGCTTTTCCAGGGCTTTTCTGGTCGGAACAACTGATTTAAAGTACGAGACTTTGAGTTTTCTTCATTTCACCAAAAATTTCCAATATTTTAACAGGGTAAGTGAAAAAAACTTTAGTTTTATCAAGTAGGTTTTGGAATGTCATTTTCGTTAGTTTTTTTTTTGGAATTTTTATTTAAGGTTTTTGGGGTCCGGGGATCGTTTTCTATCATTTTTTTTCTCGAAATTCGCAAAATTAAAAAAAAAAAAAACTTTTTTGACGTTGACAGCTGTCAATTTTTTTTGACACAAATCGATAGTTAGCGTTGCAAAACTGCCTTGTACCGGGGTTTGATTTTCGTAGCTTTTATAGTAGAGCGGAGAAAAAGTCGAACATGTGTCAAATTTGACAGATGATATTTGTCGATATTGCCAAAGTGTCGTGCGACAAAAATTTTATCTGAACGAATCTGTTCATTGTTAACTGATATAGATTATTTTAAAGCCAATCAAGAGCCGAGAATAAACAAAATTCGAATCCCCAAACCAATCAGGAGCCGGGAAAATTTAAAATTTCGAATTCCAAACCCGACGAGAAATTGAATTTTTTGTACCAACTTTTGCTACATAAATCTCACCCTAAAACCCACTAAAAAACGACCTTTGTTTTTTGGAAAAAACAAAAGAATTTTTTTTGAAATTGACAGCTGTCAAAATTTAAAAAAAAAACCTACATGGTCATATAGATTTAGCCTCGACGAATTTGTAAAAAGTACCAATTTTTTTTTAACTATATGTCAAAAAAGATGTTCGGCGTTGCCAGCGTCAAATTCGATGGTACTTTTATTAGTTTATGTCATACGTCATTTGTCATTCATTACAAATGTCAATCTTGATTGATGGTCTAATTTTTGTTTCGATTTGTCATTGTTTGTTTATTATATTTTTGACGTATCAATGGAAAAATGTAAACTTGAAAAGTAATTGGTGACGTCATGACATATACTGGAGATAAAAAAAAAAAAAAATGTTATTCGATGACACAACTGCCAAAGTAATATGTCACAATAATTATTTACCCAATATTTGTATTTTTGCTCAAGCTTGACAGAGTCAAACGTCATTTGTCATATTATTATTCGAAGCGGGAAATTCAATTTTTTTTTCCTATTCCCGGCTCTTGAATTTTATAGTTTTCAATCAAGCTGATAATTCAAGATGGCGACGTGGGCATAACAAACTAGTGATTTTACATTCAATTCAAATCGATTGCAATTTGAATGTAAACGTGGTGTGTTATTTCCACGCCGCCATATTGAATTAAAATAACGTCATTTTATTTTCAGCAATTTTATGTAATATTTAAAAATAAATTTTTTAATCGATTTTAGGCACTTGAAAATAGTCTATGAATTTCCAGAAAAAAAAAAGTACGTTTGTCCTTGTTTGTTGCATACAGACAGACAGAGACGAAACACGATTTGAGGCCTTAACTGATTGACATTTCTTTCTAATCGATGGCCTACTGTGTTAATTATTCGACGTCATTGTTAATTTATTATATTTTTAATTATCAAGAGTCAAATTTGACGTTGACACATAATTAACATTTAATGTGTCAAAAGTGTGTTTTTGATATATCGTTATTTGTTTATTATTTTGGACGTCAAATGTCATCTGTCACCCACTGCAACTACTATTAATGTCAATTTTGAAATTAATTGTCTACTTATTTTTTGCTTCGATGTCGTTGCTTGAATTTGACACGTAATTTGATGACGTCATAGATTCCAGATGTGTCAAATGTCGTTCGATAACACAGCAATTGTCACTTTCAATTGATGACGACATTGGTTAGTCACAATTATTTTATTTATATCATTAGTTGACAAATGACAAATTCAACCGGTTGACAAACTTTACCAATAAATTACCGAACAGTGACACATTAAGTATCACTTGTCCTGTCAACTGTCAAAAAAAAAATAGTTGTTGATATTGTCAACAATGATTGAATCAAGTAGGCTTTGGATGGATGTCGGTATTACTGATTGGTTTATCAGGAGCCGGGAAAATGCAAAAATTAAGGGAAAAATTGACTTTTTCAAGCAAAATTCATTCTTTTAATTTAAATTTTTTTCTGGAAAACTGGCAAAAAAAAAAGGTACATAATTTCTTACCTTAATCAGACGCAGAATGCGTCCGATTCTAAACACCCTGACAACTCTGAGCAAAGTGGGCGAAACCGGAAAATCAATCATGATGTCCTCCATCAAAATCCCCAAAATCGAAGCCAACACTAGAAGAAAATCAAAGACGTTCCACGGTACCGTAAAGTAGTGGTACCTCAAGCCGATCATCTTGACAATAGCCTCTGGAATTATTTCAAATTAGTACCAACATAACTAATACACATAAAATAGTTCTCACCTAATCCAAATACTGTAGTGAAAAAGGCATTGCTGACTTCTAAAATAAAAAACACTGCATGCGGTTGGCCATAATGTTCTATTCCCATCGTAAGCATGTTAAGAAATATCAGCACGAAAATAGCAATTTCAAAACGTCGCGAATTTGATAAATCATAGAACATTGCCAAGAAGGCATTCATCGGTCTTTTGATGACTTTTTGAGGTTTTTTGCGGCCCAACTTTTTCATTGCCGTATAATAATGCTTTTGACTTTCAGTCAAAAACATTTCCAGCACTCCGCCTTCGTATTTCTTCTTCAGCATGTTAAAATTGTCAATGATGACTCCTATGAAAAGGTTTAGAGTGAAAAAGGAGCCGCATACAATGAATATAACAAAGTAAATGTAAGCGTAAAGATTCGCTTCTCGTTTGGGTTGCATGTTGACTCCTCTTGCGTCAACCGCATCAGCCATAACTTCCATCCAGCCTTCGAAAGTGGCCACTTGGAATAAGGCTAAATAAGCCACTCCTACATGGTCGAAGGATATTTTTGAATTCTCCCACGTGTAATTTAATCTCTGGCAGTCCCATTTGGTATCGACAATCTGCAATAATTCAAATGAAAATTCATATTAATTGAAGAAAAACTCGACTCACATCGACGTCTAGACGTTCGCCATTGTCGTCGACGCACTTGTAAAACTTTCCGCTGAAAAATTGCACCCCCATGATGGAAAAGATCAGCCAAAAGACCAAGCAGACAAGTAAGACGTTGAAGATACTCGGAATCGCGTACATGAGCGCGTTGACCACGATGCGCATCCCTTGCCAGCGGCTGATCGCTCGTAACGGGCGCAGCGCTCGGAGAGTGCGCAGCGAGCGCAACACTTTCAGGTTTTCGTTTTCTTCGATCAGGAGACTGAAGAGGGACACCTGCCGAAATGAAACGTTGTAACTTCTGTCAGATGTCAAAGAACATTGCGTAATAACTTATGACATCATTGGGTTGGAATGCAAGGTGGTATTAGAATGTATTCATAAATGTATGTAGCGCTACTTTGGTTTTCTGGTGAGAAAGCGGTCGGTTATCGGAGTTTTCGGATAACTCGGGCGCCACCCTTAGAATTATAGTGGTTAAGAGCCCACGTGCCTTTAAACAGTGGAGGCAAAAAAACCAGAGGTCAATATGCGCATCCTCAAAATGGAAAAAGGAACAGTGAAAAATGCAATTGAATGAGAGACCAAGAGAGGGGAGAGTGGAACGAAGTAGGCAGGTTCGAATAAAAGAGAAGGACAGAATTAGAGGGGTGCGTCACTCGGTATCGCAGAAGAAGCATTTCTCTCGATTAAGGGTTAAACTAGCCCGAGTAAGGCGATCGATTACTTCACGTAATATTTTAATATGCTCCGTTGGTGAGACCAAAGGGCATTCGTCTAAATTGAAATAGACTTCGGAATGGAACAGTGAACGCAGTAAGGGGTTTGGAACATTCTGAAATAGGTATCTGCCAATATGCTGATTTAATGTTAAGGTGACCAGCATGGACACACGTGAAAATTTTCTTTTCTTCTGGGAAGAAAAAAGCAGAAATTTATAAAAGGGTTTCTGTTTGGGGGTGGGAAAATAACAATAAAATGGATGGTTTCCTTTTAAAAGTCAAAAGTAGGCCCTTATGTTTTTCATCTAAAGACAGAACGGTTCAAACAACATTACCTGTTAGGTCCTGACAAGGTTAGGAACAATTGGCAATACTTCCATTAAATTTTGAGCAAATCAAAATGAATTGTATATGGTTGGAAAGAGCATTAAATTCTCTATAAATCAGTGCTAAACTGAGTTTGATAACGCAAATACTTTTAGAGCAATTGAGCCTCAAAGTTGGATTTTAGTTGAAATGTAATCAAAACTCGTTGGACAAATTTTTTGTTTGAAACAATTCTTAAAATTCGTTGGATAATTTTTTTCCAACGAGTTTAAAATATTTTAAAAAATTTCAAAAATATTTTTAATTTTTTTTTTTAATTTATCGAAACTCGTTGGTTCAATTATTTCCAAAATTCAATGAAATTTGATGGATTTTTTTTTCCAACGAGTTTTTATTGATTTGCTTGAAAATTTCCAGAAATACTAAAAAACGTTTTAAAATTATTTGTAACTCGTTGGACAATTTTTTTGTTTGAAACAATTCTTGAAATTCATTTGATAATTTTTTTCCAACGAGTTTATAATGTTTTAAAAAAATTCAAAAATATTTTTCAATTTTTTTTTTTAATTTATCGAAACTCGTTGGATCAATTATTTCCAAAATTCAATGAAATTTGATGGATTTTTTTTTCCAACGAGTTTTTATTGATTTGCTTGAAAATTTCCAGAAATACTAAAAAACGTTTTAAAATTATTTGTAACTCGTTGGACAATTTTTTTGTTTGAAACAATTCTTGAAATTCATTTGATAATTTTTTTCCAACGAGTTTATAATGTTTTAAAAAATTTCAAAAATATTTTTCAATTTTTTTTTTAATTTATCGAAACTCGTTGGTTCAATTATTTTCAAAATTCAATGAAATTTGATGGATTTTTTTTTTCCAACGAGTTTTTATTGAGTTGCTTGAAAATTTCCAGAAATACTAAAAAACGTTTTAAAATTATTTGTAACTCGTTGGACAATTTTTTTGTTTGAAACAATTCTTGAAATTCATTTGATAATTTTTTTTCCAACGAGTTTATAATGTTTTAAAAAATTTCGAAAATATTTTTCAATTTTTTTTAATTTATCGAAACTCGTTGGTTCAATTATTTTCAAAATTCAATGAAATTTGATGGATTTTTTTTTCCAACGAGTTTTTATTGATTTGCTTGAAAATTTCCAGAAATACTAAAAAACGTTTTAAAATTATTTGTAACTCGTTGGATAAATTTTTTGTTTAAATCAATTCCTAAAATTTGTTGAATAATTTTTTTTCCAACGAGTTTATAATGTTTTAAAAAACTTCGAAAATATTTTTCAATTTTTTTTTTAATTTATCGAAACTCGTTGGATCAATTATTTTCAAAATTCAATGAAATTTGATGGATTTTTTTTTTCCAACGAGTTTTTATTGATTTGCTTGAAAATTTCCAGAAATACTAAAAAACGTTTTAAAATTATTTGTAACTCGTTGGACAATTTTTTTGTTTGAAACAATTCTTGAAATTCATTTGATAATTTTTTTCCAACGAGTTTATAATGTTTTAAAAAATTTCGAAAATATTTTTCAATTTTTTTTAATTTATCGAAACTCGTTGGTTCAATTATTTTCAAAATTCAATGAAATTTGATGGATTTTTTTTTCCAACGAGTTTTTATTGAGTTCCTTGAAAATTTCCAGAAATACTAAAAAACGTTTTAAAATTATTTGTAACTCGTTGGACAATTTTTTTGTTTGAAACAATTCTTGAAATTCATTTGATAATTTTTTTTCCAACGAGTTTATAATGTTTTAAAAAATTTCGAAAATATTTTTCAATTTTTTTTAATTTATCGAAACTCGTTGGTTCAATTATTTTCAAAATTCAATGAAATTTGATGGATTTTTTTTTCCAACGAGTTTTTATTGATTTGCTTGAAAATTTCCAGAAATACTAAAAAACGTTTTAAAATTATTTGTAACTCGTTGGACAATTTTTTTGTTTGAAACAATTCTTGAAATTCATTTGATAATTTTTTTCCAACGAGTTTATAATGTTTTAAAAAATTTCGAAAATATTTTTCAATTTTTTTTAATTTATCGAAACTCGTTGGTTCAATTATTTTCAAAATTCAATGAAATTTGATGGATTTTTTTTTCCAACGAGTTTTTATTGATTTGCTTGAAAATTTCCAGAAATACTAAAAAACGTTTTAAAATTATTTGTAACTCGTTGGACAATTTTTTTGTTTGAAACAATTCTTGAAATTCATTTGATAATTTTTTTCCAACGAGTTTATAATGTTTTAAAAAATTTCGAAAATATTTTTCAATTTTTTTTAATTTACCGAAACTCGTTGGTACAATTATTTCCAAAATTCAATGAAATTTAATGGATTTTTTTTTCCAACGAGTTTTTATTGAGTTCCTTGAAAATTTCCAGAAATACTAAAAAACGTTTTAAAATTATTTGTAACTCGTTGGACAATTTTTTTGTTTGAAACAATTCTTGAAATTCATTTGATAATTTTTTTCCAACGAGTTTATAATGTTTTAAAAAATTTCGAAAATATTTTTCAATTTTTTTTAATTTATCGAAACTCGTTGGTTCAATTATTTTCAAAATTCATTGAAATTTCATGGAGTTTTTTTTCCAACGAGTTTTTATTGATTTGCTTGAAAATTTCCAGAAATACTAAAAAACGTTTTAAAATTATTTGTAACTCGTTGGACAATTTTTTTGTTTGAAACAATTCTTGAAATTCATTTGATAATTTTTTTTCCAACGAGTTTATAATGTTTTAAAAAATTTCGAAAATATTTTTCAATTTTTTTTAATTTATCGAAACTCGTTGGTTCAATTATTTTCAAAATTCAATGAAATTTGATGGATTTTTTTTTCCAACGAGTTTTTATTGATTTGCTTGAAAATTTCCAGAAATACTAGAAAACGTTTTAAAATTATTTGTAACTCGTTGGACAATTTTTTTGTTTGAAACAATTCTTGAAATTCATTTGATAATTTTTTTTCCAACGAGTTTATAATGTTTTAAAAAATTTCGAAAATATTTTTCAATTTTTTTTAATTTATCGAAACTCGTTGGTTCAATTATTTTCAAAATTCATTGAAATTTCATGGAGTTTTTTTTCCAACGAGTTTTTATTGATTTGCTTGAAAATTTCCAGAAATACTAAAAAACGTTTTAAAATTATTTGTAACTCGTTGGACAATTTTTTTGTTTGAAACAATTCTTGAAATTCATTTGATAATTTTTTTTCCAACGAGTTTATAATGTTTTAAAAAATTTCGAAAATATTTTTCAATTTTTTTTAATTTATCGAAACTCGTTGGTTCAATTATTTTCAAAATTCAATGAAATTTGATGGATTTTTTTTTCCAACGAGTTTTTATTGATTTGCTTGAAAATTTCCAGAAATACTAGAAAACGTTTTAAAATTATTTGTAACTCGTTGGACAATTTTTTTGTTTGAAACAATTCTTGAAATTCATTTGATAATTTTTTTTCCAACGAGTTTATAATGTTTTAAAAAATTTCGAAAATATTTTTCAATTTTTTTTAATTTATCGAAACTCGTTGGTTCAATTATTTCCAAAATTCAATGAAATTTAATGGATTTTTTTTTCCAACGAGTTTTTATTGAGTTCCTTGAAAATTTCCAGAAATACTAAAAAACGTTTTAAAATTATTTGTAACTCGTTGGACAATTTTTTTGTTTGAAATAATTCTTGAAATTCATTTGATAATTTTTTTCCAACGAGTTTATACTGTTTTAAAAAATTTCGAAAATATTTTTCAATTTTTTTTTTAATTTATCGAAACTCGTTGGATCAATTATTTCCAAAATTCAATGAAATTTGATGGATTTTTTTTTCCAACGAGTTTTTATTGATTTGCTTGAAAATTTCCAGAAATACTAAAAAACGTTTTAAAATTATTTGTAACTCGTTGGACAATTTTTTTGTTTGAAACAATTCTTGAAATTCATTTGATAATTTTTTTCCAACGAGTTTATAATGTTTTAAAAAATTTCGAAAATAT